AATACAAGTTGTTTCTTGTTATTTTCTGACTTTATTCTCGTAAATTTACGACTTTATTCAGATTTTGTAATAATTAGGAGCTTTACAATGATAATAAAGCTGCTGTGTTGAATTTTCAGAACCTTCCAGTCACCCGGATCCTGGACAACCTGATGGAAATGAAGTCTCATCCTGTGAGTTTGCTTGTTTTTTCAAGTTGAAATTAAGATTAACCCGTCGGCTGACGGCGTTCCCCAAAGCTGATGTAAATCGGTTTAGTCGTAGCTTTAATGGTGTTCTCTGTTTTTCCAGGAAACAGATGATTATCGCTACTTTGACCCAAAGATGCTGCGAGGCAGTGAGAGGTAGGACCCCACACGGAGAACAGGTCAACAGGCCTCTGTAAGAACCGTCTTCTCATCTCCTCCACTTCTGTTTCAGCTCCATTCCCAGGAACAAGAACCCATTTCAGGAGGTATGTTTAGTTAGTGGAGCAGAAGCGGGTCAGGATAGACGGTGACACCAGGAGGCGCAGCCTGGATGTAAAGCATGTTTGCAGTCAGAAGGCTGGAGCTTCGATCTGATTCAGAACGATCAAAGGATCTGATCCAGGATCAGTTTAGATCCCAGTTACTCTGAGACCATCAGGAACTTGGTTCTGATTTCCTTTGGGTTCAGGTTCAACCAGTCAGGAAGCTCCTCCTCCTGAATGCTGATTGGTCAGCCTGTTTGTGTGTGACTGGTTCATCTAAATCGTAGCGTTCTGTTTGAAACCTCCATCTTCTGTTTCAGGCCATCGTGTTTGTGGTCGGAGGAGGGAACTACATCGAGTACCAGAACCTGGTGGACTACACTAAGGTACTGGAGCCGTTTTCTGATGGAGGATCTCTGCTTCTGCACCGCCGTCTCGGTTTGAACCGTGCAGCTCCTCTTTCATCGCTCCACTAACATTTAGAACAAAAAACTGTTGTTGCTCATTTAAAAGGAAAGAGAAAAATAGAAAGTAACTTAGGCAGTCTAGCTGCAGACCTGTGAGGTTCTCCTGCTCGGTCAGAACCAGAAGTTTATTCAAAGCCTTTCAGAGTAAAATCCAACCCAACTTTAATTATAAAGGTCCTGTACAGGGAATCAACATAAATAAAACCTTTACAAGACATAAAAACATCAAATTAAAATCCAAACTATAAAATCGATCAAACTTCTGTTTAGTTTTAGGCGCCACTAAAAGCTAAATAAAATAAAAGCTAATATATGAGAAATATTTTATGTTCCGTGTTTATTTCCTGGGTCTTCATAATTCATCCATCCTTTTTCCGTCACACTGAATCCTGCAGGGGTAATCTGATCTATTTAAGGATTTATATTTAATCTCTTTCCACTTAAACTGGATAAAAAATGCAAGAAAATGTCAAAATAAAATAAAATGAACTCAGTTCTATTATAAAGTCGTTTCTAATGTGTGTTTGCCAGTATTACAGGTGCTGGTCATAAAATTAGAATATCATGAAAAAGTAGATTGATTTCAGTAATTCCATTTAAAAAGTGAAACTTGTATATCATATTCATAC